GTAGGGACGAAGAGCAGGAGAAGAAGATTAACATTTAACAGGGATGAGAGGTGGGAGGGAAAGGGAGAGAGAAGGGAAATTGCACGGTAATGGAAGGAGACCCTCAGGGTTATACAGTGGAGGGGGTAGAGAGAGAGGAGGGGAGGGGAGGGGAGAGGTGGGGAGGGGGGAGGGTGGAGGATGGGAAAGGCAGCGGAGCACAACAGACACTAGTATGGCAATTTGTAAATCAATGGATGTGTAACTGATGTGATTCTGCAATCTGTGTATGGGGTGAAGGTGGGAGTTCATAACCCACTTGAATCAAAGTGTGGAATATGATATGTCAAGAAATTTGTAATGTTTTGAACAACCCACAATAAAAAATTTAAAAAAAAAAAGAAAATATATAACTCAACAACACAATTAATAACTTAGACTTAATTGACATATATAGAATATATCACCCAACATCAAGCAGATACACTTTTTTTCTCAGCAGCACATGGATCCTTCTCAAAAATAGACCATATACTATGTCACAGGTCAACTCTTAGCAAATAAAAGGGAGTAGAGATACTACCATGCATTTTTTCTGATCATAATGGAATGAAATTGGAAATCAACGATAAAATAAGGAAGAAAAATTCCTACATCACATGGAGAATGAACAATATGCTACAGAATGAACAATAGGTTACAGAAGACATCAAAGAGGAAATTAAAAAATTCTTAGAGGTAAATGAAAACTCAGACACAACATATCAAAATCTCTGAGACACTATGAAATCAGTACTAAGAGGAAAATTCATTTCATGGAGTTCATTCCTTAAAAGAAGAAAAAGCCAACAAATAAATGACCTCACACTACATCTCAAAGCCCTAGGAAAAAAAGAACAAATCAGCAGCAAATGCAGTATAAGGCAAGAAATAATTAAAGTCAGAGCTGAAATCAATGAATCAAAACAAAAGAAACAATTGAAAAAAATTGACAAAACTAAAAGTTGGTTCTTTGAAAAAAGAAATAAGATCGACAGACCCTTAGCCACATTAACGAAGAGAAGAAGAGAGAGAAGACAAATTACTAGCATACGGGATGAAAAGGCAATGTCACAACAGACACAGGAAATAGAAAAAGAGGGAGTACTTCCAAATTCATTCTATGAGGCCAATATCACTCAGATTCCAAAACCAGACAAAGACACTTCAAAGAAAGAAAACTTCAGACCAATATCTGTAATGAATATAGATGCAAAAATCCTCAATAAAACTCTGGTAAGTTGGATACAAAAACACATCAAAAAGATCATGCACCATGATCAAGTGGGATTCATCCCCCGGATGCAAGGTTTGTTCAACATACAGAAATCGATAAATGTAATTCATCACATCAATAGACTTAAAGATAAGAACCATATGATCATCTCAATAGATGCAGACAAAGCATTTGACAAAATACAGCATTGCTTTATGTTCAATACACTAGAAAATCTAGGGATAACAGGAACTTACCTCAATATTGTAAAAGCTATCCACGCTAAGCATAAGGCCAGCATCATTCTAAACGGAGAAAAACTGAAGGCATTCCCTCTAAAATCTGGAACAAGACAGGGATGCTCTCTCTTACCACTTCTATTCAACATGGTTCTTGAAACACTGGCCAGAGCAATTAGACAGATGAAAGAAATTAAAGGAATATATAGGAAAAAAGAACTTAAACTAGCATTATTTGCTGAAGATATGATTCTATGACGAGAAGACCCCAAAAGCTCTACCGAGAAACTTGTAGAACTAGTAAATGAATTCAGAAAAGTGGCAGGATATAAAATCAACACCCATAAATCAAAGGCATTTCTATATATTAGTGACAAATCCTCTGAAAAGGAAATGAGGAAAACTACCCCATTCACAATATCCTCAAAAAAAAATAAAATACTTGGGAATCAACCTAACAAAAGTTAGGTTGTAAAGATCTTTCACCTCTTTTAACAAAAGAGGTGAAAGATCTTTACAATGAAAACTATGGAACCCTAAAGAGAGAATTAGAAGAAGACCTTAGAAGATGGAAAGATCTACCTTGCTCATGTATAGGCAGAATTAATATTATTAAAATGCCTTACTACCAAAAGCACTACACAGGTTTAATGCAATTCCAATCAAAATCCCAATGGCATTCCTCATAGAAATAGAAAAAGCAATCAGGAAATTCATCTGGAAAAATAAGAGACCCAGAATAGCTAAAGCAATTCTAAGCAGGAAGAATGAAACAGGTGGTATCACTATCAGACCTTAAACTATACTACTGAGCAATAGTAACAAAACAGCATGGTACTGGCACCAAAACAGGCTAGTAGACTAATGGTACAGAATAGAGGACACAGAGACTAACCCACAAATATACATCTATCAGATAAAGATGCCAAAAGCATGCACTGGAGAAAGGATAGAATCTTTCAACAAATGATGCTTGGAAAACTGGAAATCCATATGCAAAAAATGAAATTGAATCCCTCCCTCTCACTGTGCACAAAAGTTAACTCAAAATGGATCAAGGATCTAGGGATTAAACCAGAGACTCTGTGTCTAATAGAAGAAAAAGTAGGCCCTAGTCTTCATCACGTGGGGCTAGGCCCCAAATTCCTTAATAAGATGCCTATAGCACAAGAATTAAAACCAAGAATCAACAAATGGGATAGATTCAAACTAAAAAGTTTTTTATCAGCAAAAAGAAATAATATGTGAGGTGAATAGGGAGCCCACATCCTGGGAAGAAATTTTTACCCCTCACACATCAGATAGAGCTCTAATCTCTAGAGTATACAAAGAGCTCAGCAAGATGAGCACACACAAAAAAATAATCCAATCAATAAATGGGCCAAGGACCTGAACAGACACTTCTCAGAAGAGGACATACAATCAATCAACAAATATACAAAAAAAATCATCATCTCTAGCAATCAGAGAAATGCAAATCAAAACTACTCTAAGATTTCATCTCACTCCAGTCTAAGAATACAAACAACAATAAGTGTTGGCAAAGATGTGGGGGAAAAGGTACACTCATACATTGCTGGTGGGACTGCAAATTGGTGCAGCCAATTTGGAAAGCAGTATGGAGATTCCTTGGAAAACTGGGAATGGAACCACCATTTGACCCAGCTATTCCTCTTCTCAGAGTATACCCAAAGGACCTAAAAACAGCATATTACAGGGACACAGCCAAATCAATGTTTACAGCAGCACAATTCACAATAGCTAAGCTGTGGAGCCAACCTAGATGTCCTTCAGTGGATGAATGGATAAAAAAAATGTGGCATTTATACACAATGGAATATTACTCAGCAATAAAAAAGAATAAGATCATGGCATTTGCAGGTAAATGGATGGCATTAGAGAAGATTATGCTAAGTGGAGTTAGCCAATCCCAAAAGAACAAATGTCGAATGTCTTCTCTGATATGAGGCGGGTGACTCAAAATGGGGTTTGGAGGGAGACCAAGGGAGGAAGATTACCTCTACATAGGGAATAGGGGTGGGAGGGAAAGGGAGGGAGAAGAGGAATAGCATGGATTGTGAAAAGAGACTCTCATCACTACAAAATACATGTATGAAAATGTGAATTTGGTGTCAACATATCTTATATATAATCAGAGATATGATAAATTATGATATAATGGTATATTAAGAATTATAATGCAAAATAAATAAATAAATATTAAAAAGAAAAAATAAAATTATTTAGTAACATAAATACTAAGCAGATAGTTATTATACTATATCATTTATGGACTAATGACAAAAGTGTCTCTACGTGTTCAACACAGGCACAATTTTAAAAATATGTTTTTGATCTGCAGTTGGTTGAATCTATGAATGTGGACTTATAGATACAGAGGGCTAGCTATATTTTCAAATTCCTTTCTTCAAGTAGCCTTACTATACAATAGTAACATGACCTTTATTTTAAATTAATTTTTGAGTTCTAACTGAATTCTTTTACTTATATCTTATATATCATTAATATATTTTTAGTATTCTGATTTCCATTTGGGAACAATTTTTCATAGACTTAACAGTCATAGTGCATTTTATAAATCCTTAACTATTTGTTGCTTTTATTTATGAGAAATTATTTGAAATAGGTAAAATTGCAAACTCAAAAAATACCTTTCCTCTCATAATTCTATATACTTATTTTTTTTCTTCTAACGTCTAGTGATACACATGATATGGTCAATGTTGATTTAATACTCGGCCCTTAGGGAAAATTTAACAGGAAAACTATGGATATTGCTTATGGCTTTATGAATTGCAGATTTATTATAAGAGGTGTTGGGGGAATCTCATATGTATGGACATGTTAACTCTCATTTATATTAGAAACAACATTTTAGAAATAAAACGAGAGAATAAAATGAGTCATTTCCAACTTAGTGCCTACCACCTGGGATTCTCTGGCTGAACAGAAGTGTAGAATAGTGAACTTCCCTCAAGGAGGTGGAGTGAAGGAGGTCAAGGACATTTAAGTAGGATGAAATCTTAGAAATTTTTTTAGCGAATTAAATATGTTAAAAAAAAAGGGAGGGTAAGTTGATCTATCTAACACAAAATGTGCTTGGAGAGAACTGAATTGCATTCTTTTGGGAAGGGTGCCAGAAATAAGAGATGTCAACTCTGTCTACATAATAGGAGGAGAATGAAAAACTTGGGAAGCAGAATTATGATTCTGTGTCTTATTAGCTGAAAGACTGGGCAAAAGAAGCTGAGTCACTCTTTTATTTTAGACAGAATAGAAATAAGCTCACTCAGAGAGGGGCAGACTACAATTTGTCCAAAGAATATTAATGAATAGCTTCAGTAAACACATTTGGAGACTTAACCTTTCATCCTCTTGGGAAACAGGTGAAAACCTTGGCTACAAACAAGCTATAAAGTGGGGCCTTAGAAGGCAATGTAAAATAAATTTGTATTTATTTAAATTTGTATGAGGAGAAAGAGTCATGACTCCTCCTGTTCACTTACCTCTTAGACTCCATATTAAGTATCCAATTAGTATGGTGAAAAATAATGTCAGGAAAGCTACTCCAGTTATTACATCTGTCATCCAGCTATTGTACAAGGAAAACAAAGGATCTGAAATAGAGACTGAGAAAGATGCAAAAATTAGGAAATATATGAGAATGAACTAGAGGGAAGGAATGTATAGGAATAACATTTAATATTAACTTTACTTGTACTTAGAATTTATCCTTTAGAATCATTATTTTACCACTTACAATGGACTAATTCAATTAATCCTTGAAACAGCTACATAAAATGAATTTTAAATGTCCTTTTGTTACTCTCCTCTTTATCATCAACTTTGAGTTGACCTTGTAAGTGGATGAAAATTTGGGGAATATTGGGATGAGTAGAATGGATTTGGGGCACATACTGGAACCATATAACAACAAATTGGAAAACCTGGAAGAAATAAATAAATTAGAGGGAACACACATAACCTACCAAGACTGACTCTAGCCAAACAGATCATCATCAAGTAAACAGATTAAATCAATAATCAAAAAAGTCCCAACAAAGAGAATCTCAAGACCCATTGATTCAGAATCGAATTATGCCACACAGTTAAAGAATTAATACCCAACCCTTTTTAAATTTACTGTTTTTAGATACATGTGTCAGTAGGGTACATTTTGACATATGAAGTACAACCCATCTTTCTTATATTCTCCAAAAAGATGGAAGAAAAGGATAACTACCAAAGTCTTTTTTTTTTAAAGCCAGCATCACCAGATATTAAAGCCAGGAAAAATACCACAAAAACAAAAAGAAACACAGGTCCATATTACTGATTAATACAGTTGCAAAAGTCCTCAATGAAAAATTGAGGAAAGTGAATTCAACAGTACATTAAAAGAACAAAACGTTTTGACCAAATGGGATTTATCCTGGGAAGCAAGAATGGGTTATGGGAAGCAAGAATCAGTATGATACACTGCATTAATAAAATTAATAACAATCATAAAATCATCCTATTATGTGCACAAAATGGATTTGACAAAATTCAACACCCTTTTGTAATTAAACCTGTCAACAAATTAGGTTTAGAAGGAACTTATTTCCCTTTTCTCTCCCTTTCCCTCCCACCTCATGTCTCTGTTTAATGTTAATCTTTTCCTCCTGCTCTTCCTCCCTGCTCTGTTCTTAGTTGAATTGCATGGAAATAGAAGGAGACCCTCATTGTTATACAAAATTACATATAAGAGGTTGTGAGGGGAATGGGAAAAAAAACAAGGAGAGAAATGAATTACAGTAGATGGGGTAGAGAGAGAAGATGGGAGGGGAGGGGAGGAGGGATAGTAGAGGATAGGAAAGGTAGCAGAATACAACAGTTACTAATAGGGCATTATGTAAAAATGTGGATGTGTAACCGATGTGATTCTGCAATCTGTATTTGGGGTAAAAATGGGAGTTCATAACCCACTTGAATCTAATGTATGAAATATGATATGTCAAGAGCTTTGTAATGTTTTGAACAACCAATAAAAAAAGGAAAAAAAAGAAAAAAACCAAAGTAAAAAAAAAAGAAGGAACTTATTTTAACATATATGTGTTACAGATGACATCTCTTTGCAGATGACATGATCCAACAAAATATAGACTACACATGCTTACCCACCCCTTCCAACACATACGCGTGCACACACACACACACACAAATGAATTCAGAAAATTCTCAGGATAAAAATAACCTACAAAAATCAGTTACATTTTTATATACTAAGTAACTCAAAAGGAAATAAAGAATTTATTACCATGTATGGCCATATAGAAAAAAAAAACTACAAGTAACACCATACTCAATGGTGAGAAATTGAAACTTTAAGAACTAAAATAAGGCAAAGATTCCACTGTCACCACTTCTATTCAGCATTTTACTGAAAGATAGGAATTCCATAGTACTTTCATGACTTCTATTCATCTTAGTCCTAATAAGTGCAATAAGGCAATAAAAAGAAATAAAATGCATCCAATTGGGAAGAAAGAAGTAAAATGGTGGAGGCATTCTGTGCCCTGGTCTCTCAGCTCCTTGCATTTCCTCCTACAAAACCTTCAAGAGTGAGAATTCACACTTGATTGAAATGAAGATGTCCAGTGAACTTTGGCTTAGGTGCTCCATTCCCCACCACCCCCCAGTTGTAATTGGGTGCTTGTCTTTTTAATGTAAGTGTATTAATTTTCCTTTGACACTAAGGAATGGGGCTTTTTATTCATTGGTTTCAAAAGTTCTGAGGCAGGTCTATGCAAAGGCCTACTAAGAAGAAGATGGAAAATGAGGCAACAGAGGGCCCCCTGCTGGTGACCACTCTAACTCTAAAATTGTCCTTTATGATTTGGAAGCAATGCTTCAAATGAGACAAAAGTATTTATGGTCAGTGATAAAACTGTCCTGCCTATACATTTCCCTTAGCCTCTAAATGATGAAAAATTGTGTCAAAATCAGATTTTTAATATAATACAATATAATATAATTATATTACTTCATTAATTTTACCTCTAAATAATGACCATATTTCATAAACAATTGATCCACAGAAGGATTTCAGTTTCATAAACTTCCAGAAATTGCATTCAAATTTTGGGTGTATGTTAGTATTGGAGCTGGAAGGAGAATATTTATATTTGACATTGTATTTTAGTGTAGATTCTAAGATGCAAATAGATAAGAAATTTTGACTCAAAGTCATGGATGTTCGCCTAAAAGGAAGTGAATCCCCCAAAATATTTAAAGAGTGACTAGATTCAACCCTATTTTCTGAAGCCAATATGTAGCAGAAGGAGATCTGTCCCCTGTACTGTTGAAAACAGTCAGAGCAGCTTTTGTCCTTAACACCCACAACAACTTCAGTGTTGGAATTTGATCCTCTGAGATGCCACCCAGACCACAGTTCCTCCTGGTGCTGATGAAAACATCACATAGGCTTGACTGAACAATACCAAGAGGTAGATTTTAAGGAAAATAAGAGCAACCAAGAGCGTCCTCCACTACTAACCCCACTTACCTCTGATCCGGAATGGCACATACACAATAAGAAGGGTCACAGAACAGATCATGCAAAACAGGAATTGAGCAGTCATTGAGTTCGACCCACAAAGACATGGAGGAGGACCTCTAAATAGACATTTACATATACCCCCTAGAAGAGAGAGAGTTAAACATTTTTTCATATATTTGTTGATGGTTTGTATTTCTTCTGTAAAGTATCTGTTCAGTTCTTTAGCCCATTTATTGATTGGGTTATTTGTTTTATTGATGTTAAGTTTTTTGAGTTTTTTATATATCCCAGAGATTAATGCTTTATCTAAGGTGCATAGGGTAAAGATTTTCTTCCAATTAGCGAAATGCAAATCAAAACTACACTAAGACTTCATCTGTCTTCAGTCAAAATGGCAATTATCAAGAATACGGGCAACAATGAATGTTGTCAAGGATGTGGAGAAAAGGGTACACTCATACGTTGCTGGTAGGACTGAAAATTGGTGCTACCATTATAGAAAGCAATATGGAGATTCCTCAGAAAACTCAGATGGAATCACCATTTGACCCAGCAATCCCACTCCCCGGTTTATACCCAAATGGCTTAAAATCAGCATACTAGAGTGATGCAACCATGTCAATGTTTATAGAAGTTCAATTCATGATAGCTAAACCTAGGTGTTTTTCAATAGATGAATGGATAAAGAAAATGTGGTATACATATTCAATGGAATATTACTCAGTTTTAAAGAAGAATGAATTTATGACATTTGCTAGTAAATGGATGGTGTTGGAGAATATCATGTTAAGTGAAATAAGCCAATCCCAAAAAACCAAAGGCCCAATGATTTCTATAATATGTGGATGCTAATTCACAATAGGGTTGTGGTACTAGGGAAGAATAGAGTTACCTTAAATTAGATAGAGAGGAATGAAGGAAGGGAATGGGAGGGGACATGGGGATAAGAAGAATAGTAGAATGAAACAGCTATTATTACTTTATGTATACATATATATGACTGCATTACCAATATGATTCTACAACATGTACAATTACAAAAATTAGAAATCATACTCCATCTTTGTATGATATATCAAACTACATAAATGCATTTTACCATCATGTATAACAGTAAAAACAGCTTTTTTTAAAGAGAGTTAGATTAACAAAGAGGTATATGGGAATCTGGGGCATCTCTAGCCTGAGGACAACTGTCTGAAAAAGCAGGAGTTATTGTCCCATGCAAACTCAACTTAGGGCATACTTAGTCTGTGAGTTTGGTTTGTGGACGGTGGCAAGTCCTGGTCAGACTAGGTGTGCAGATCCTGTAGAGATAGGAGGTGTGTTCTTTCCTAATTTGTACCACCTAATTCAGCAGAAAATTAACTTGGCTGGGATAACTAGATTCCTAGAGATTCTGAAGATTCCTAGAGATTCTGAAGATTCAGGCTTCGACGGTATCTGTGCCAAAACTGACCTGGCTAAAAGAAAGAATTTCCTAGGATCCACAGACTCATGGACCAGGAAAGTTCTGGCTTCTTAAATGGTAAAAGAAACACACTTCATACCTCTGACCTTAAATGCCCTGTCCAGGTACTATGGTTACAAGCTAAACAGACATGGTGAAAATGTTTTCCCACTGAATTATTTATCTCTGAAACATTTAATCTTTGATTTATATCACCTTCCAGAAAAGAATGACTCCAAAATAGTTTTGTAAAGCTTAATTATCTGTAGAGTTCACAAATAGTTTCAGAGAACTCCAGTCTCTAAAATACTTTCATGGGAAAAACAGAGAAGGCTGGTTTCAGAATTAGACATATTGTATGGAAGTGATTTTGACATCCAAAGGCAATAAATTTCACACAATCACTATGAATTAGACTGTCTCATGACTCAATGACCTTCCCAAACATTAAGATGTAAAAGAACAGCCAAGGGAAGTGGCACATGCCTATAATCCCAGTGGCTTGGGAGGCTGAGGCAGGAGAATTTCAAGTTCAAAGCCAGCCTCAGCAAAAGTGACGTGCTAAGCAACTCAGTGAGACCCTGTCTCTAAATAAAATGCAAAATAGTGCTGGAGATGTGGTTCAGTGGTCGAGTGCCCCTGATTTAAATCCCCAGTACCCCCCCCAAAAAAAATTATTTACTGACAAGATTAATTTATCACTGAAGATTTTGATGTAGAAGTTGAATCAATTTCATTTAGATTGGACTATTTCCTTTACTTTTTAATTGATATTATCATATTTGGTTGATTTTTCAGGATTCCGATCTTTTTTAAACCTTTCGAATCTTTGCACAGAAATCACCACTCTTGCCCTTGTTTTCTTTCTACTCAATTTTGTCGTGTTTTTAGGAGGAAAGTCAGCCTCAGTGTGAGACTTAGTTCTGAAGGTCAAAGAAACTTCCCTTTGCAAATCAGAAACTGACCCAGAGGTTTCCAGTGCTTCAGCACAAGGCACTTGCTTCTGAGTCTCTTGGAATAGCTCACAGCTTCTCCACAGCACTGCTGATCTCACCAAGAGTGGGGAAAAGAGCAACACAATCATGTAGGCAGCTGAGTAGAGACACAGAGAACCAGTGGTGGCACCTAAAATACAGCACATCCCTCTGAGAGATCTGTGATCCCTGTTTGAAAGGATGTCCAGGAGGAGCATCTGGAGCTGGATCAAGAGGGAAGATGGTGAGAGATTCTCAGGCCCAGAGTGTGGATGCACCACTAGTAGCTGTGAGGGAAAAGTGCCTCTCACCAATGCTCATAAAGCATCTCTGGGTGGATAAGAAGTCCTGTGGCTGGATTTCACCTTGGCACTGAAAACACAAACCCAGATGGCCTTAAAACTCCTTAACTTAAAGATGGAAGTCACTGTTGAACAAATCCATCCATGATAGACTTGGTTCCAGAGATGGTGACTCCCATGCAAAGTGTTCACTGGGCTGATCTTTGCACTTTGCTTTTAAGTATGAGTAGAAGCTCAGGGTTCTTCCTGGAGTACCCAGCCTCTTGCACAAGGAAGGGGCATTGGCTCTGGTGTGAGTGGATCATCAGGGGCTCTCCTCTAGGGTGCAGGGCCAGAGCCACTCTGTGCCCTCACAGCTCCCACTGTGACTGGCCGATGTGAGAGTATGTGGTTCACAGGTGGGTGGCATTAGAGTATTTTCTAATATTCTTTTGCAAAATAATGGGGTCTTTACAAAACAAGGGTGTAGTTTCTTAACAAAATAATGGCATCTTTGACATTTCACATCATTTCATTTCTACTCTGAAAATTCTAGAAACGTAAGACTTTCATGTGACTTCTGTTGGGGGAAAGAAGCAACATTATTTTGTTTGTTTCTGTGGTTTATTTTCAGTCCATGAAATGGTCTGTTAATATCTGTCCTGTTGACACTCAGGCACAGCTCCTTTTTCCACATTTTAGCAGTTACCTGATGAATTTAAGCCTCCTAATATCACTGTGTAGGGAAGACTGTGCTGTGGCTGTGCAGAACTGAGAGGCCCACAACACATGGGATGGAGAGACAGCCGGTTACATTAAAGCTGCACATACTTGCTCTCCTTCTTGCTTTTTTGTTGTTTGCTTTTTTATGTTAATTTTTTCTCCAACATAATTTCCCACTCTAGTTAAAAACAACTTTCCTAATATTGTGCAAGCTTAGGCTAACAGAACTCTTACTTCTTCCTTTGGAGAAACTATGGATTATTTCTTAAAAGAGGGAAGGACTCCTTCAATTTTCAGTGTTCATTTTTTTACTCCTTTAATACCCTGAAGGGGTACAGAAGTAACCATGGGTCTGAAAATATCAGGAGACATCTATACTGACCTCATCCCCAAAAGCATCCTTATCTTGGGAAGTCCATAGTTAAGAGGTGTCAAGCTCAAACATTTCTAAAGTGGAAAATAAGCCACAGATCTTCCCATGTGACACATGATATTGGAAGACAAACGTCATTCAGCTTTGCCTACATATGATTTAGCCATCAAGTTAAAGCCCTTAACAATCCCCCCCTTGTTGCATCAGTTACCTGTTTTTGTGGAAAAGGAAAGGCCCAAGGAGACCAACAACAAAAGGAACAATATACATGGAACAGAAATTATAAGATTCATTCTAAGGTCGTCCTTATTAAAGAGGGCACCTGAAAGAGGGGACAGAAATGACATCCATGAAGTGACATCTGAAGGTACATTTGCCCCACTCACCACCTTGCTCCTATAATCAACCCTCATTTCTCCACAGAGGTATTACCTAAGGGTTCCTTTGTTGCATACAGGGAACATCCTTCTCCTGACTGGCCTTTGACATCCATCCACAATGACTCCAAGAAGTGAGAAATAAACAAATAACCAGGAAACCTGTGCTTTAGATCCACATTTTACTTACTCCTGATTCTATTGGCATCTCTCAACATCTAATTATCAATGACCAAAATAATCTCTCTTGTTTGTTGAATTTTCAGGAATTTTTAAACAGTAGTACTCATGCTAAATATTGCATGACAGTAGGCAAAGGTTTTTGCTGCTGCTAATCATTTAAGATTCACAAAAATCATGAAATATGATAGTATTCATTTCTAAGATAAAAAACATTGATAGTATTCATTTCTAAGATAAAAAAAAATAGATCAGAAAGATCAATAACATCCTTTAAGTAACTGAGCTAGAATTATGTTAAACTGACACATAAATAGGGTCTAATGAAACAATGAACATTAAAAGCCTTTAAAGCTCAATGTATGTTTCAATTGTGATTTGTCGTTGTTCTTGTAATATTTTCTTCTAAATCCTTCTTCTTAGCATCTGATAACATCCGTATGACCAAAACCCATAACAATGATAAAGAGTCACATTCAAAGGGTGTTTGGGAATGTAGTAAGCTGCTAAAGATGGAGCACTCACTTGCTAGGATGATACTTGTTCTTTTCTCTTCCCCTGTTACAGGGTTGCAAACATAGCACATAATGCTCTCTGACCGGTTTCTGAGGAGAAGAGTCATCTTCATGTGGAACAATCTGGCTCCATCCTGTGAGTATGATTTTGATGAATGTGGAACGACCTCTCCCCTGCTGTTTCTCCACTCCATTTGGGGCTGTGGAAACCATCCTCCTGAGTTACACTCCACCTCGAGTCCATCACTAACAGGAACCTGGACATGAATCTGTGTCTCCAAGCCAAGTGCTGATGGAATTGAGAAAGAACCATCAGTTATTGTACTGAGGTTGGATTGGCTAGTGGAAAGGAAGAAGTCTCAATCATGTGTTCTGCAATTTAAAATTCATAAATCAAATCTACATTCCATTTGCAAGTCAGATCAACAGATCACTCTGTAATGTCTATTCACTGCAGAGTGTATTTTTGCAGTAGATATACGAGACTTACAATACTTGAAACTTTTTAGAATATTAAAAAAATAAATAAGAAGCATTGAGATAATTTTCCTCATATTTCAGCTTATTGTGTCAAAAGAGCTTTGTCATACAATGTTCCACAAGCAACTTACCTGCCACACTTAGGTTCATGCCGGCTGCATCACTGAAGTCAGTATCTTTAAATGAACACCTGTATGGTCCCCCATCAGAAATGCTGACATTATGAATTTTGAGGGTCACTTTACCCTCCCCCATGGCCTCTTTCACAAACTCTGTGCGATTTACATATTCAGGGGCAGCTTCTCCATTTACTTCATGACCGCCGCCTCTGTATAGGTAAACAAGCTGGGAATTGTCACCCTTGAACCAGCGCACCTCCATGTGCTCTGCACTTTGTAGTGGGGACAACTGGCAGCTGAGAGCAGCCTGTCCTTCTACTCTAGCCACCAAGTGCCCCTTGGGAACAGTCACCATCAGTTTCTCTGTGGAGGAAGAAAGAAAACCAATATAAGTCATAAACCAGTAACAACCCTGTTGCTAAACACTGCTTGGAAGGACACACAAAATTCTGCCCAGTAGACCTAAGCTGATCTAAATGTTCAGCTCTGATCACATTCCTTCAGCTTAAACCAATACTTTATTTTTTGGAAAAACCAATGTTACTTCATTAGACTTTCAAAACTATATTCACTTGGCAGATTCTGGGAGATGGTGGAGTAAGAAGCACCAGCAACCTGACTCCCCAAACAACCATATAGGTAGCATCTATCTTGTGTAAATATTTGGAAACTCTGGAGCCTATTTAAGTCTCACAACTTAAATAGGCTCCAGAAAAATTGTTTAATGAGTATAGACTTTCAGATTCACAAGATGAAAAGTCCTCTATCAATAGATGATGGGGATGGTTATACAACCTAATGAATTTATCTAATGCCATTTAACTATACACTTAAAAGAGTTACGATTATAGATTTTATTTTGTGTATTTTCCTACAATAGAAAATTAAAAAGTATATTAATTTAATCTTTATCTCTTATAATCTCTATTATTTTACAGCATGTTTCTGAGAGTAGGAAAAACAGTAGGATACATCAGCAATAATAGAAATTTAACAATGCTTTGCAGCTAAGACCATTTGAGCAAAATTTAGAATTTTATGTAGTATTGCTGGGACAAAAATTATTGTTCCAAAATTTTTACTTGGAAGGCACTTCATGCATATATAAAAGAATTTCAAATATTCATATAGATTTCCTTTTAAAACATTTTTTTAGTTGTAGATGGACACAATATCTTTATTTATTTTTATGTGGTGCTGAGGATCAAACCCAGTGCCTCAGGCGTACAAAGCAAGTGCTCCACTACTGAGATACAACCCCAGCCCTAGATTTCCTTTTTAGAAGGAAGAAAAAGTGATAAGACACAGAACTTTAGGGGAGGGCAAATACATTTTTAGCTTGACACACTCACTATAAAAGAACATTGTTTTGATTTTTTGTATGGGAATAAGAAAAATTACTAGCCTAAATAAAAACTTTAATAGAATATCGAATTAAAAATAAACAAAAAATGAGAATTAATCATAAGTTAACATTGGTAATTTAACAGATAGAATAACAAAAATATTAGAAAAATAAAATGTGAGATCAAAGCCTTCAACAGAAAATTAGGATATTAACGTTATGGTAACACATATTTTAAAGATCTCACTAAAATCATAGTTAAATGTATAAAAACTTCAAAAATACAAGAATTGCTTTACAAAAATAAAAAGAGGAAATTTTTAATATAACTTTTCAATGAGCAAATCTAGTAGAACCTGATTTCAGCAGAACCTCATTTCTTCCAAGGAAAACAGCCTAAATAACCGCCTGACTAGACTTTCACTGTCCAAGCAAATCCACACAGAACACCAGGGAACACTCTCAGAACTGCTTTCAGTGTGTGGTGCCTTCAGTGCAGCGATGCCCTGTGGGTATGGATCTAAGAGGTAGTGTGAGAGCAAGGAGTCAGTGACAACCAGACACATCCTCGGGTGCATATGGTCCATTAACCATCTCACAGAAGTCAAACTCTGTCTTTTTTCCTCCCTCTCTATTTTCATTACAATCTCCTCCCATATTTTCCAAGTAAATTCCTTTAGGCAATTTTGACCACATGTAACTCTGTTTAGTATACAGTTCAGATTTTCCTATCCTGGTACTGATTTCCCCAGAGGTTTCTGCTTACGGATTTCTGCTCTAGTGGATTCCTGCACCTGTCTCTCCCTCCGATTTGGAGATCAGTGGTTTGCCCTGTCATCTCACTTTTCATGGATCTAAGAAGAGATGCTGATTTTCATTTGTTTATCAGTCTTTCTCTTGATATTCCAATGAAGTGTTAACTTTAAGCTCCCCCCAAAAGTTAACAGGACACTAGATTTTTTTCTACAGCTGAGACTTATGTGGAAGAAGTAGATGTTCTTACCTGAAGTTAATGTCATCATATGCAAGAGAATCAAGCACATACAGTATCCAGAAAAGTAGGAGGATGTAGGATCCATCATATCTGGAAAAAAGACTGGAATAAGGTCACAAATTGTGAGATACAATGTAGAGATTGCATGAATACAAAAGATTTAATCAAGATTATAAAGAGGGATGACCTCAGACTCTTTCCTCTTACAAATCGACCTTTCTCAGTGCTCAATAAAATAACCATGTTCCCTCACATTGTTCTGATCAAGAGAGGGAATGAATATGGGAATCACAAAGGCACAGGAGCCAAAACGTGCATGATAACATAAGAAGAGTGTTTTGGGATTCATGAGTTTGAACAGCTGAAACCAAGTTTGGTTGAACTAAAACACCTTGTTAAAAGTTCTATGTTACTTCTAACAAATGAAACGTGGCTAAAAGGTTTTAACTAGTAAAATTTAGTGGTCAAACTTGCACTTTAAAAATACGGAAGTGGTTTTCTGATTGAGTGGCTGAGTGTTAGAACAAGCAGCACTTGCATCATTACATAAGAAACAAACTGGACAAATTGCAAATTGGTGACTCTTCTCAACTCATAAGAGAAGTAATGTTAAGGGCAAATGCTTAATGTGAAGTTGGGAAAGAAAAGTGACTGCAAGATAAAACACAACTTAAGATTTGCTAACTTTGGAAAGAGTCTGAAGGATGTCACATAAACCCACAATAAGATTTACTTACAACCTTTAAACAAATTGCTAGAGTTTGAATGTATGCTAATATATGAGTATTAGAAACTTTGGGGAGAGCAAATATAAGTGTTCTTTTGCAGTTCTTTACTTCAGGAACTCAGCTACGAAAATTCTGACCAACTTTTCTCCTGTTGCTGATTGGAGGGGAAAAAATTAGGAATATATTGTTACCAGTTTCATAACTAGATACAAAGTATTATTTAAAATCCACCCTATATACATACATCTTCCCCAAAACTGAAAGCTTAACATGACAGGGAAGATCAACAAAAATTTAGCCTCTGGGCACTTGTGTAAACCCACTGAAACTGGTAGAGAAGAACAGGGATAAAACCTTCTAGTTTTGAAGTGTTTCTTAAAACATTTAACAAAATGCCTGAGGTTGGGCTATTTTTAAAAAGAAAAGGAGATTTGTTTATCTAACAGTTCTGTAGGCCCAAGAATATAGCACTAGCATCTTTTCACCTCCCTGGAGAAACTTGTGGTCGAGAGCATCACATGGTGGGAGTCTGTGCAAAAGATAGATGTTCCCCAAGAGGAAAACTAGTTAAATGAAGGAGGTATACATTCTCAAATTTAAAAAGAAGAGAGGTTTTCTTTTCCTTACCAGTTTATTAATATGTAAGAAATATTTAATGTTTGAACAGAATAACCTATAGAGATGAGGAAGGTGCATCTACACTAAAAAAAAAGAAGAAAAAGAAGAGCATCTTTAGCAGAATAAATTAAGATAAAATCTGGATTGTTTCTTGTTTTAATTGCTCCAAAAGATAACTAATTGTCTAATGCAAAGATAGTAAAAATATAATGAAATTTACAGCTTCTGTGAAAGCAAACTAATTGAGGATTAAAGGCACAAGGAATAGGGAAAAATTAGGAATATATTGTTACCAGTTTCATAACTAGATAAAAATTATTAAAGTACTTTATTAAGATGGATTCAGCTAATTCAAAATGTATATTCTAAACTCCAGGACAAAAACCACTGAAATACTTTTTTGGGGGGAAGGGACTCAGGAGATTAAATTTAGGGGCTTCAACCACTGAGCCACATCCCCAGCCCAATTTGTATTTTTTTTTTAATTTAGAGACAGGGTCTTGCTGAGTTGCATGGCATCTCACTTTGCTAAGGCTGGCTTTGAAATCTCAATCCTCCTGTTTTAAAAGGTAAAAAATAAATCAATAAAGGAAATAAAGTGAACTATTAAAATTTCTCAATTAAATCCCATAAAGGTGAAATGCAAAATAAAGAAACAAATAAAAAATGCACAAATATAAACAGGGATCAGGGTGTGTTTCAATCCAACTCTGTCAACAAACATTTAAAATGGAAATGATCTAAAAAGACAAGTTAAAAGTACAGATTATCAGATTGAATAAAGCAAGACCAATTTGATGCTGGGTTCAAGAAAACCAATTAAATATAAACACATAGAGGGATTAAAATAAAAGAATCAAGAAAGATATCCCATGAAAACTCTAAAGAAAAAGAAAACTGGAGTCCTTATATTAGTTCCAGATGAAGTCGTTTTGGGATCAGGAAAGATGATTAGAGATAGAGACATCACATAATGATAAAGGAGCCAGTAGTCCAGGAACAATCATAAATGCATATGTTCACGACAACAGAGCTTCAACAATATGTAAGGTAAGTAATGATAGATCCAAAAGGGGAACTAGTTATATTGACAATCAGTACTGATGACTTTAACACTCTATTTTGGTAACTGATAGAACAAATAGGCAGAATATCAATAAGAAGGAGGTAATGTATATCAATTAAATTATCCTAATTGAAAGATGGGAATACACTCCAACCCATAGGGGAATATACATTCTTCACAAGCATATATAAAATGTAAACCAAGGTGGATTAAATTCTAAACTATAAAACAAAACAATCCTTAAATAATTTCAAATATTTGAAATCATTAAAAGTATGGTCTTAAACCATATGGTGCTCAGCTAGAAATCAGAGCAGAAAGATATCTGGATAATCCCCCAATATTTGGAATTACACAGCATATGTCCTAAAGACAGAACAAAATAATTTTTAAAAAAATAAGCAGAATTAATAAAGTTGACAATAGGAAAGCAATAGAAAAAAAATGAAAAGAAATTCTCTCTTAAAAGAGCAGTTAAAATTGATAAGCCTCAAGCCATGCTAAGCAAATTAGATGATACAAATCAACTATTTCAGAAATTAAAGAGAGGATATCATTACTAATTCCACAGAAACTAGGGGAAATGATAAAACAACTCTATGAATATAAGATAGGCAACTTATGAATTGAACAAATTATTTTCATGAATAAACTACCCAATCTCCATCAAGAAGAAAAAGATATCCTGAGCAGCCCTACATGTATTGAGGAAATTTGTAGCTGATAATGTGAGGAAAAAAAAGTCTCCAGGCCCAGAGTAGGTACACACATGGACTGAAAAAAAAATTGCAGAAGAATTAAAACTAACTCTACAGAATATTTGCAGGATAAATGAAATATAGGGAAGATTTCACAGATCACTTTATGAGATCTAAATTACCCTGATATTAACACACAATGGTAATTTAAAGAAAAATAAGGCAACAGAGTGATATCCCCCATGAAGATAGATGTAAAAACTGAATATTGCCAAATTAACTCTAGCAATATATCAAAATAATACTATATTGTGAAAAAGTGAATTCAGGCTGGTTCAACATGGTTGTCAATGTAGAACATCCCAGTGGACATACAAAAAAAATCTCTTAGAACTAATTAGTGAGCCACCAAGGTTGAAATTTATAGGTCAGTATTCAAGGGCCAATTTCCTTCTCTTTATAAACCATGACCATCTGGAGTTTGAAATTTTTTTAAATGCTATTTATAATGGTATCAAAAATGAAGCAATGAGATAAAAATTTAACAAAATATATGCCAGTTCTACATGCTGAAAACTACAAAACTGTGTTGAAAGAAAATAAAGCCTAAGCTGGAGAGCTAAACCTTGTTCCCAGTTGCTATGATATGAATGTTTGTGGTCTCTCGAATTCTTGAAATTTAATTTCTATTGTGACAATGTTAAGAGGGACCTTAAAATGTGATTAGACCTTGAGGGCTCTACTGTCATGAATTCATGCCATTATTATTGGAGTGGATTTATTATCATTGGCATGAATTTCTTATGAAAGGACAAAATTGGCCTGTTTTGGCATCTGTCTCTTGCTTTCTGCCATGGGATCATACCACACAAGCTCTTGACAGACCTTGATCTTGGACTTTACAGCTTCCAGAAACAAATTTTGGTTGTTTATAAATTACTCAGACTGTTTATTGTGTTACAGTAGCACAGGATGGTCAAAGACAACAGAATAGTTTTTGGTCAATATCAATTTTTTTGGGGCTGGGGATGTGGCTCAAGCCGTAGCACGTTCGCCTGGCATGCATGGGGCGCTGGGTTCGATCCTCAGCACCACATAAAATAAAATAAAGATGTGTCCACCAAAAACTAAAAAATAAATATTAAAAAATCGAAGGAGAGAACATGGCGGCAGTGCGGAGGGATCAATCTTGTGACCTCCTCAGCTGCGCCGGCAAAGAGAGACTTCAGTCCAACTGAATGCTGTCTGCTCAGGAACATCTGGCAATGCTGGGCTGAAGTGGATCTTGGGTGAGCAGGTTGAGCTTCACAGAGGCCCCAGCAAGCATTACGACTCTATTTATATGCAATTTACTAAATGCATATAGGTAAAAGTTCTGAGGCAATCTATAGTGCTCCCAAGTCCCTACTACCCCCAAATACTCCGGTCCATTCTCCTGTTAATATCCCCCTTCAGTAGAGCAATATTCCAAGGTTTCCAAAATATACCAACCCCTATACCATCACATCACCTGACCTAAACATAAAGTCCCCAGACCAAACCGCAGATCACTATACGCCATCAGAATCCATACACATTTTATGAAACGAATGAATCTGCTTTAAAGTACAATAAAACTCAACATCCCTAGACATAGTCTCCCATCACAAAGGAGAGATCCTGGAGATATACAAAACCAATATAAATTTATAGGAGTAAACAGTAACACAGCAATCAAACAGAGCCAGAAGTAACGTGAACATCATGAAAAAACAAGGAAGAAAAGGAGTACAAACAATGCAGGATAGCCTAAATCTACAGGAGAACCTAGAGGCATTAGAAAAATGGTCAGATAAAGAACTCAAGGAATACCTGACTCAGATGGAATGAAATCTTAAAGAGGTCATTAGACAGCAAATGCAAACAATGAAAGAACACATTGAAAGTGAATTACATAAACAGATTCAAGAAGCAAAAGATGAACTCTACCAGGAGATAGAGATTATAAAAAAA